TTAACTAGATAAAATCCTACTTTAGCTACGAGGTAAAGAAGATACGGTCTAACGGAGAGCTATTTACGAAGGATATCTTAAATTAGCTTTAAAAAAGGGGCATTTTACCCCTCCCGTTAGCACCGAATACCTAGGCTTAGAACGGAGGGCAGAAAGATTAGGGTGCTATAATAGAAAGGGCCTATATAATAAGACTTACTATAAAGCTTCTATACGACCTTTAGAGGGTCGTTAAGACCGCCTATTACCTTCGGAACCGGACCTAAGGGACCCTAGGGGACTAAGGGACTATAGGGACCTAGAGACCCTTTTTAAGACCTAAGGAATAGACTAGAAATCCCCCCTCGAGCTCTTTATAAAGAAGAGGGCCTCGCTAGCCTACCTTCGTGCCTACGGCTATAAGGTATACGTAATAACTGCCGATATATAGCTAAAAAGGAAGAAGAAAAGAAAGCTTAATCCGAGAGCCTTTATTAGTTACCTAGTTAGTTATAATTCTACGAATATCTTCCGGATCTAGATTCCTCTTCTATAAAAGGTTATTTTAACTAGGGATATAATTTTCGACGAATCTAGCTTCTTCGACGGAAAGAGGGATTAATAGCCCCTCTTACTCTCTTAACGTTAGCTAATTTAGAAGATTTAAATCCCCCCTTCTTAATAGTCTTAAGAAGAGGTCCTAGATAAAGAAACGGAAGAAGAAACCGACGTCGAAGTAGTCGAGGACAACGCTAACTTCGAAGAAGAAGAGGAAGCTGCTAGATTAAATAATCTAGACGAAGAAGGAGACTATAGGAAAGCAGTAGAGCTAGAATACGCCTACCTCCCTACGCCTCCTCCTACGGAATAAGAAGAAGATCTAGAAGCAGCTTTTTTAGTTAGTCTTCCCGTCTCGACCCCTAAGGGGGTAGGAAAGGCACCTCTCTTAAAGGATTACCTAGCTGCCTTTTTATCCCTACTTCGAGAAGTAAAGGAAGGAATAGGGCCCGATATAGATACTAAAGAAGACTAACTACTCCCCTATTTCGATCGTTTTTCCGACTTCTATCTAACGCCTATAGAAGACGGTTCCTACGGAGCATTTATAGCAGGCCGGCTTTTTAAGCCTCTATTAGCAAGGAAGGTATATAAAAGAGACCTCCCGGACCTACTAGTAAACTAGAAGTAGCTAGAAAAACACCCCTTTAGAGACTAGTTTTTCTAGGCCTAGAAAGACTACCTAGCCTTATACGAAGAGATAGGGTCTTTCGAAGAGGTCCTTAAGGAAAAGGCAAGAGGAAAACAGGTCCTTAGCTATAAGTAGGTCTTTATTTATAAGACTAATAAACACGGCTTCCTTTAAAAGTATAAAGCCCGGCTAGTTATCTATAGGAATTAATAGGAAAAAGGGGATCTACCTACTAGGGCAACTACCTTAGTAGGGATGTCTTTTCGGACCCTTATAGCTATAGCAGTAGAATTCGACCTCGAGCTCGATTAGATAGATATAGTTAACGCCTTCGTTAACTGCCCTCTCGAGGAAGAAGAAGTTATCTATATACGACTTCCTCCTAGTTTCTAATAACTAGGAAAGGTTCTATAGCTTAGGAAAGCTCTATACGGACTACGAAGATTACCCCTTCCTTAGCAATAGTATTTAATAGGTTCCCTCGAAGCCCTAGGCTTTACGAAAGTCCCTTAGGAACCGTGTATAATATAGAAGGGTAAAATCACAGTCTTCTTCTACGTCGACGATATTATCTAGGCCTACCTAAAAGAGGAAGAGGCTACTACTAGGGAGGCTATACGAGGCTTATAATAAAGGTATAAGATAACTAGGCTAGGGGAGCTAAAGTAGTTCCTAGGGATACGAATCCTTTAGAATAGGTCCTAACGGACTATCTAGCTTACCTAAGACGCCTATATCGATAAGGTCGCTTATAAATTCCTCCCTAATTCCCTCGATAAAAAGCTTCCCTCTACGCCTATATTAAATAAAGAGCTTTTACCTAATCCGTCCTTTTAAGCTAGGGAGTAAGAGAAATACTAATATTAATAAAAGGTAGGCTCCCTACTCTTTTTAGCTATTTCTACTAGACCGGATATCTCTTTTACGGTCTCCCGGCTAGCTAAGCATAACTAGAATCCTAGCCCTAGGCATTAAGAAGTAGCAGATAGAGCTATCCTTTATCTCTATTTAACGAGATTAAATAGTCTGCGCCTAGGAGGGCAGGGAAGGAAATTAGCTGCTAAAATCTTCCTCTATTCGAGCGATTCGTCCTTTACGGACAATTTATTAGATAGAAAGAGCTTATAGGGGTATATTATATCCCTTTTTAGAGGAACTATTGCTTAGAGAGCTTCGAAGCAAGCTACCGTTACTATATTAAGCACGGAGGCAGAGCTACTAGCTCTTTTAAAAGCGTTAAAAGAAGCGATTTTCCTTAGCCGGCTACTAATATCTCTATAACTATAAATTCCGACCCTATTAGCTATAGAATACGATAATATATAGACTATACGAATTCTTATAGAAAATAGTAAGTTATTAACCCGGCTACGGTATATCGATATTTACTAGTATTAGTTACGCTAAGAGGTCTAAAGGGGACTTATTTCCGTCCGTTAGGTTCTAACGGTATTAATAAAAGCCGACGGTCTTACGAAGCCCCTACCGAAGCAAAAGCTAGCTATCTTTTTATAGTAAATAGGGCTAGAAGACGTTCGAGAGAAGCTATCCTTAGAGGCCCGCCTTAAGAGTCTACGAGAGGAGCTAATAGCCCGTACGAGAAGGTAACGTCTATAGCCGAAGAAAAGGAAGAGGCTTTTCCCTTTAGAGGGCCCCCTATTTTAATTAGGTTTTTCCTTCTAAGAAGGCCCCCTTTCTTATAGGACTTTCCCTTTTAGGCCCCTTTTCCTTAAGTAGGTTAAAGAGCCTAGGGACCCGAAAGGGCCCCTGCTTTCCTCGAGTAAAGGGAGAAGTATAGAGCTAAGAACCTCCTCATACGCTTACTAGCCCGAAGCCGTATTATGCCCTTAAGGGGCAGGCCATAGCTAAGGGTGTGTCGCGTGGCCTAATTTCGTAGTTCTCGGAGATATCCCTTAGCACGAGGGACCTAGGAAGCTAAAAAACAGGTTTTAAGGAAGGAGCTAAAAGGAGGTGCAGAGAGGAGGGTAGGGGCAAGAGGGGAAGTAGAAGTAGCGATAGCTTCCTATAGAGGTAGCGAGAGATAAGACGGATGTGCCGGTAATAGCTAGAAAGGAGGGGAAAAAACCGGTAAAAAGCTCGGTAGTCGAAAGGACATTAGTAGCTTCTTTAAGTAGGATCTTCTTTATTAATTAAGATATTAGACGGGTATAAATAGGGGCGTTAGATAGAGGAAAGAAGGACAATTAAGGCAATATAATAATCACTCCCCTACCTTTATTGCTGCTCCCGTAAGAATTAAATCTCTCTGCCCTGCCTGTCCGACCCCTTACTTCTAATTTCACCTTCGTGCATTTTTATGCACTTCTCGCATCTCTCTTCGCGAGAAAAGTAGCTTTTAATAAGTAAAATCTACTATTATAGCTTACTTAAAATAGTAAGCTATCTTTAAAAGCCTGCCTTTAAAGTCTATAAGAGGAGCTAATAATATATATAAGGAAGGAGATATCTATAGCTAAAGAAAGGGTTAGGTTTCTTCTTTTAAAGGGCCCTTTATTTTAATTACGTTTTTCTCTTTTAAGAAGGCTCCCTTTCTTATAAGACTTTCCCCTCTTTAGGCCCCCTATTTCCTAAGTAGGTCTAAAAGAGCCTAAAGCACTTAAAAAAATACTTTACTTTCCTTAAGTAAAGAGAAAAGTATAAACTAAAAACCTTTTTTATATACTTACTAGCCTAAAAGCTTTATTAGCTTTACCCTTACTTAAAGGATAGGCTATAGTTAAGGGGGTATACTACGAAGTATAGCTTAATTTTATAGTTTTTTAAGATATCCTTAAGTAAGAGAGATCTAAGAAGCTAAAAAATAAGTATAAAAAAAGGAAAGAAGGAGCTAAAAGGAAGTATAGAAAGAAAGGTAAGGGAAAGAAGGGAAGTAAAAGTAGTAATAGCCTTTTCTTAGATATAGTAAGATATAAGATAGATATACTAGATATAGCTAAAAAGAGGGGGAAAACTAATAAAAAGCTTAGTAGTTTAAAAGGTATTAAGAGCTTCTTAAAGTAAGATTTCCTTTATTAATTAAGATATTAAATAAATATAAAAAAGGGCGTTAAATAAAGAAAAGAAAGATAATTAAGGTAATATAATAATTACTCCCTTACTTTAATTATTACCCTTTAAAGATTTAAATAATTCTACCCTACCTATTTAACCCCTTACTCTTAATTTTACCTTTATATATTTTCTATATACGCCTTATATCTCTCTTTATAAGACTTATAGTAGTAGTAAAGTTAAATATAAGTAAACTAGTAAGCGGTATAAAACATAGTAAAAGTATAATAATCTATTAAGAAGTATCTTTTAATAAGCTTATATAGCGATCCTTAGTAAATTAGTTTAATAGGACCTCGGCCCTGTTTCTCTTAGCGTAACGAATATTTTACTATAGCGATAAAAGGCGTGTGCAAATTTTCATCGTTATAGCCCAGGTTTACTATATATTTTAAGGCGTTGTGGATCGGGGCCTGAGTCGCGGACCGTGAGCCCTGGTTAAGTCAGCAACTAAGCCACTGCGCAGGAGCGCAAATCGATTAAAATTCAGCTTTACCAAGGTTATCTATACGGTTGCCCTTACAAAGCCTTGTCCCGAGCTACTCACTGTCACATAAATAGCCCTTTCTTTCGCACCGACACACGAGAAGGTTCTTAGAAATATCCGGTCGCTACTCTATCTGTTATGCTTCGCCCATTATCTTCGACCCACTTCTTTATTTCGCGGCCGCAACCAATAGAGATGAAGATTCACCAAATTCTCGCCATATTCACGGGCATTGCCATTGCGGAACCCCGGACAGTTAGTCAAAAAACGCCGATGTCAGCCAACGAGGCTTTACTGCCTGACGAAAGCAATCCATCGCTCGTCGGGAAGGCACAGCCTCGCAATATAGGAGGTGACGACGATTCTGTAGTGGATGTTGCCGTCAGCGTTGAGAGGCGCGGCGTGCCAGATGGCAAACATGAAACTATTTCGGCCATGACGGTGGCCGCTAAGGTCGTGGTTAAGGGCAGCAAAAAAGGCGTCTTCTATCGTGGCGATAACCGACCACCAAGTGAGATCTTTAAAAAGGGTTTCACCACACAGGGCAGCAATATGAATCTCATTACTCACCTAAGTTTTGGTGGGGAGTCGGGGTACGTCTCAGTTTCGCGATCTCGCGATGCGGCGGCCCGGTACGCCTTTGGCCGGACGGAAGCCAAGACCGAGACGGGATATATTTACTACCTGGCCCCCCACAATATGCCAGACGGATACTGGATCCCCGAAATGTACAAAGATAATGCGGTTCACGCGAACCAAGAATTTGCGGCAGCCGCTAGTATACCCCCTGAGACCATTCAGGGAGTTCGCGTCATCCATAAGGCCAAACCGTTGAAGGAGGTAAAATGGATTGACAACCCAAAATTCGCCTTCAAGGGAGCCGTCTGCAATATCCGGAAGAGAAGCCTCTGCATTCCGCCTGCGACAGAAGATGAGCACATAAACTCCAAGCCGCCTTCAGAGGAGGGCCCAATGAGAAATCCCAAGCCTCCTTCAGAGCAGAGCCCGAAGGGAAAGTCCAAGCCGCCATCACAGCTAAATCACTCGGAAAGTCAAATGAAGGCTTTGGCTGAACAATTCGGAGAAAAGAGATTGAAGAAGCTCGCGGGCCAGAAAGGGCTGGATAAAATCGCTGAAAAGAGATTGAAGATGCCCTTCAGCGAAGTGCGGCCGAGAATCCTAATCCCGAAAGGGCTCGCTCTCTCAGAAACGCTCAAGGGCGGGGCGCTCAAGGGACTCAATGCAGTAGGGTACGCCTTTTGGGTGAACGATATGGTGGAAGCGTTTTCGACCGAGTCGAGCGGTCTGGAGAAGGCTGCAGCAGTGACGGCTATTATCCCTTTCGTCGGCTGCGGTTTTAACACCGCAGTGCAACAAGAGCACCACGAGGACGTCGACGTATCTGCGGTAGATACGGCCTTATGCGTGATAGGCGATGCGCTGCTGCTAGGCAAAGTTACTGCTCCGGCAGGCATTGTTGTGCACCTCTCACGATCCCTGCTCCCATTTAAGCTGCCCGAGCTACCTACGTTCGACGAAGTCCGAAGCATGCGCGATAAGCCGTGGGATGATTTTATCCACAAAGATATATTCGAATCGTTTATGTCTGAGAGCTGGCTGATGAAGCTTGAGAGCGCCATGGCCATCGAGGCCTTAACTATTGTGAACCGAGCCGCCGACACGATAGGAATAATTGAGGCAGGTAGCCAGATTGTCCTCGAGGGAAATCAGAATGATGACAGGAATGGGAGCGAGGTTGAAGACGGAAAGCCGGAAGGAAGCCAGCAGCAAGACGACAAGAGTGTAACCCGGGATGAAAACCAGAGACTGGACACCTGCCAGGTCCAAAACTACACCAGGGACGTGGCCCAGGCCAAAAACAATACCCAGACAGCCACTTCCCAGGTACTGGAAAAAATGGACGCCGAGATCATAAGTCGTCAGCGTCAATACCTACTTGGCCCTAGAATGATGCTGCATAGCCTAGAGCAGTCAATCAAAGATACCAGCAAAGAGTATAATAAGGGTTTCATCCAAAGACTCAATTCCGATGAGGTGGTAAAGTCATACCCAAGCCCTAAGCGATACCCATATATCTTTCAAAATGACCGAGAGCTATACGGACGTACCCGCGGCCGTTTCTTGCATATCAGCAACAATCTAGATGGCTGGCCACCCCAGTCCCCCAACCTCTACACCTTGGCTTACTTCATCGGCGTAATGGCCGGAGTCGACGGCGACCAACCGCAGAAGTCTACGCGGCGCGATGCGCCCGAATCTGCTGCAATATCCGCCCCGACTAAGCCTGATCAATGGAAACAAGGCATTAGTCCCGGGGTGATTGACCCGATTCTATACTACAAAGAAAAGGCGAAACGGGAAGATCGGCAGGCAGTCGTCCAACATACCCTTGCCATTGTAAAACTTCTCGAGGGGAAGATTCAAGAGTCCAAGCTTCCTAGAATTAAAAGTGGAATGGGGCTCCCTGGCGCCAGTCTTCCAGAGTTTCATCAGCTTATTGCAATGTTTGTCGGATATAAGTTCGCGAATTGGAAGAAGAAACAGGGGTCCCGGGACGGCTATATCGACACGAAATTCTCTGAGGACAACGCGCTTATAGAGCACCTTTATGGGGCTTCCAAGGACGACAATGAGTTCATAAAGGACTTTTATGCCGTGCTGGAAAAAGAGCCTCCGAAGCAACATGTTTCTAAGGACTACTGCGTGGGTTGCGTGGTATCGGGGCATACCCCGGCGTATTGTGGTTGCGCTGACTGGTACAGGGGTGGTCAGTACATTGGTCCATCAATACATCGCCCCCGAAATAAGGCAAAGTAAAGTCTCAGCCGGCATGTCGGCGTCAGCGTTGCTTCCATAACGGTGTGCCAGAATGGTGTTGCAATAATATAAAGGCCTGATCTACAACGCCTCGTAAAAAGCGAGATAGAGGTGCCGCTTAAGTAAAAGAGTATCTATACTCCGATTAATAGCGGTTTTTAGTATAAATAAAAGAGTGCAAGCTCCTTCTTCCCTAGAAGTATATCGACCCCTGCCTACGATATATCGAGCTAGTGGGGGCCGTGTAGATAACTATATTAGAAAGATACTAAGAGGAAGGTAGAAAAAAGTAATTTTTAGCCTAAGTCGCCTTAAAAGAAAAGAAGTAATATTAAAGCCTTTTTCTTTTAGGGCGGCCTTAAGGTATAAACTATACCTTTTTATTAAGCCCTAAGATAACTTATAGGCTACTTAGTAACTTTTATAGCCGCCTTATATATATAAATAAGGCCAATAATAATCTTATAAAAGCTATTTTTATATTAAGTATAGTATAAGCTCTTATTATCGTAAAGCGTAGCTTAATTCGCGTTCTCGGAGATATCCCTTAGTAAGAGGGACCTAGGAAGCTAAAAACCCGGTTTAGAAGAAGGAGCTAAAAGGAGGTATAGAGAGGAGGGTAGGGGCATAAGGGGAAGTAGAAGTAGCGATAGCTTCCTATAAAGGTAGCGAGAGATAAGACGGATATACCGGCAACGGCTAGAAAAGAGGGGAGAACCTAGTAAAAAGCTTAGTAGTTAAGAGGATATTAGTAGCTTCTTTAAGTAGGATCTTCTTTATTAATTAAGATATTAAATAAGTATAAAAAGGGGCGTTAGATAAAGGAAAGAAGGAAAATTAAGGTAATATAATAATTACTCCCTTATTATAATTACTGCCCCTATAAGAATTAAATATCTCTACCTTACCTATTTAACCCCTTACTTTTAATTTTACCTTTATATATTTTATATATACTTCTTATATCTCTCTTTATTAGAACTATTAGCTTATTATAGCTTATATAATACTTTAATTAAAGTTTCCCTTAATCCTTTAGAAACCTTAGTTATTATATATAGAGTTATACTTAATTTTATATTAAAGGAAGCTATAGTTTAGGCCTATATAATAGTAAGTCTACTATAATAATAGTTTTATAAGTATAGGACTAAGTATATAAGCTTTATACTTAGTATAAGAGGTCCTTACCTTTATTTTTATAGGAACTATATAATAAGTAAAGTAAAAGAAAAGTTAAGTAATAGCTAATATAGTAGTCTATATAGTTAGCTTAGCGGATATTAATAAAGCCTTTTAAATAAAAAAGCTAAAGTTACCTTTTAAGCTATAGTAGTAAATACTAAAGCGCTTTTATAACCTTTTACTACTATTTAAGTCCTAGGAAGTAAATAAGCTTAACTTATATAAGCTAAAGGTAGATTATAAGGTTATACTTTATATTAATAAGATGGGAAAGGAACTATATATATTATTTAGGCTACTATATAGTATATTATATATAAAGCTATTAGTACTAAAGAAAATATTAAAGGACTTCTTAAATAAGGGTTTTATTTAAGTAAGTAGCTTTAAAGTAAAAGAGCTAGTTTTATTTATATATAGGCTAGAAGTAAGATATAGTTTTATTATATCTATAGGCTTTAAATAAAATTATAAAGCTAGACCGCTACCTTTTACTTTTAATCTTAAATATACTTTATAACCTTTTAAAGGTAAAGTAGTTTATAAAGCTAGATATAAAGTAAGCGTTTTTTAAAGTATAGATCTTAAAAGGTAATAAGTAAAAGATAGCGTTCTATATATACTATAGCTTATTTAAATAGCTTATAATACCTTTTAGTTTCTTAAGAGCGCCCGCTACCTTTTAGTATTATATTAATAATATACTTAAGGACTTCCTTAATATATTTACCTTTATATATATCGATAATATCCTTATTTATTATAAGAATATACCCTTATATTCCTATTTTACTATTATAAAAAGATAATAAATATAGGGAGGCTCTATAAAATAAGCTAGTAAAAAGAGGCTCTATAATATAGTCTAAGGGAATAATTCTTAAAGACAAAGACCTCTACTAGATATATATACCTTCCTTTAGGAAAGGCGGGTTAGGATAAGCCTATCCTAATAAAATAAAATATGCATAAAATGCATAAGTTAATTACGAGCAGAACGGATACCCTATTGCCTATTTTAACTAAGCGGTTCCGAAGATATCCGCGATACGAGAATAGGTAGGGCATAGAATATTCTAGTTAAATCTACTACTTATACTAGAACCTATAGTCTTACGTTAACTATTACGTTACAATTAGACCACCTACTAAGTTAGGAAGACATACTATAGATAGAGCTTTTTAAGCACTATAGAATATGCTAGAAAGCTAACTAATTAGTCTACTAGTAGGCGAGCTATAGTCTATAAAAGACGAAGGATTTCCCTAGGAGTAGTAGATAGAATAAGTAAGTTTATAAGTATCCTTTGCAACGCTATTCTTTTAATATATTATTTAGACCCTTATATGCTCGTTATAAATTCCGGACGAAATCCTACCTTATACTCCTTCGACCGATCTTTCCGCTTATATTATTAATTGCCCGATTCTACGCTTATTGCTTATACCGTCTTATAGAATCCTAGCCCTAAGTCCTAAGACATAGTAGACTAAGCTATCCTTTATCTCTATTTAACGAGATTATATAGTTTACGCTTAAAAGGGTAGGAAAGGAAACTAGCTATTAAGATCTTTCTTTATTTAAGCGATTTATCCTTTATAAATAATTTATTAGATAGAAAGAGCTTATAAGGGTATATTATATCTCTTTTTAAAGAAACTATTACTTAAAGAGCTTTAAAGTAAGCTACTATTATAATATTTAGTATAGAGGTAGAGCTACTAGCTGTTTTAGAAGCGTTAAAGAAAATGAAGCGATTTTCCTTAGCTAGCTATTAATATCTTTATAACTATAAATTCTAACCCTATTAGCTATAGAATATAATAATATATAGACTATATAAATTCTAATAGAAAACGTAAAGCTATTAACCTAGCTATAGTATATTAATATCTATTAGTATTAGTTATACTAAAAGGTTTAAAGGGGACTTATTTCCGGCCGTTAGGTTTTAACGGTATCGATAAAAGCTAACGGTCTTATAAAGCTATTATTAAAGTAAAAGCTAGCTATCTTTTTATAGTAAATTAAGCTAGAAGACGTTTAAGAGAAGCTATCCTTAGAAGCTTACTTTAAGATTCTATAAGAGGAGCTAATACTATATAAAAGGAAGGAAACGTCTATAGCTAAAGAGAGGAACTAGGACTTATTCTTCTTAAAGGCCCTTTTTTAAGGATTTATCTTTAGAGAAGTCCCCCTTTCTTATAGGACTTAATATCCTCCTTAGGCCCCTTTTCTTAAAGAAGGTTTAAAAGAGCCTAAGGCTAAAACCCGGATTTCTTAAATAAGGGATAAGTATAAACTAAGACCTTCTTTATACGCTTACTAGCCTTAAGCTATATTAGCTATACCCTTACTATAAGGGCAAGCTATAGCTAAGGGGGTATATCGTAAAGTATAGCTTAATTTTATAGTTCTTAGAGATATCCTTTAATATAAGAGACTAAGGAAGCTAAAAACCCGGTTTTAAAGAAAGAGCTAAAAGGAGGTATAGAGAAAAAGGTAGGGGTAAAAAGGGAAGTAAAAGTAGCGATAGCTTTTTATAAAAGTAGCGAGAGATAAGATAGATATACTAGTAATAGCTAAAAGAAAAGGGAAAAACTAATAAAAAGCTTAGTAGTTAAAGGGTTATTAATAGCTTCTTTAAGTAGGATCTTTTTTATTAATTAAGATACTAAATAAGTATAAAGAAGGGCGTTAGATAGAGGAAAGAAAGAGAATTAAAGCAATATAATAATTACTCCCTTAACCCTTATAGTATAATAGTTATATATCTAAGATACTTTAACGGTAACTACGGCATATACCTAAAGATATACCTACGCTAACGGCAACAGCAGCAGCTAGATACCGAAGGACGAGGGGGTCTAAGGGGGACGAAGGAAACGAGAAAGCACTAAGCAGGGCAAGGCAAAGGCAAAGAGGGCTAAAAAGGTATATTAGCAAAAGAGGATATAGAAGAAGATAATATTAATAGAAGAAGATATCGATGCTAATAATAAAAGAAGAAGATAATAATGCTGTCTATTAGCTAAGGAGGAAAAGAGACCTCTTTTATAGACCGAATTTTCCCTCTTTCTTCCCTAGACGAATAGGGCTAAGGGATTATCTAATTAAGAAGAGAGCTAGCTAGAGACTCTACTAAGGATCCTACTAAGGACCCTACTAAAGACTCTACTACGCGGGCTATATATATTCCTTAGGGTATAGATGCCCCCGTTAAAATACCTACTAGCTATAACGCTAAAGTTAGTTTAATCTAGCTAAGGGTATAATTAATTTTTAGTTAGACTAATAAACTAAGCTAACTTACTTATTAATTAGCTAATTAGCGCTTTTAAAAGCGCTTATAAATATACTAGTAGTCTAGCCCCGCTATAAGTAGGCCGGCCTAGACCTCGCTTACCTATACCTAGCAATAAATTTATTAAGACCTCCCCTTAACCTTAGTCTAGGCTCCTTAACCGGGAAAATAAAAACCTAAGGCTAATACTAGTAACTTAATAAGTATAGCGCGAAGCTAGTATAATAACCTAACTACTAGCCCGGCTAAGGGCCGGTATTAATAAAAAATAGCCTACTAAGCTTTATAGCGGAAAAATAAAGTAGAGCTTAAGAAGATATCGTTATAAGATAAGGTTAAAGATAATTATATAATTAACTATTAACTATTAACTAAAAACGCTTATACTACTAATTAATACTATATACCTTATATATATAAAGGAGTTACTTTCTAAGGTTACTTTATAGTAAGGCTAATATAATTCTAACTAACTATAATAATACCTAAGATAGCTAGCGTAAGATTCTTATATATTATAACCGTAACCTAGTATAAGGGTAAACTAGCT